TCTCACTGTTGTGGCCTCTCCCGTTGCGGAGCACAGGCTCCGGACGCGCAGGCTCAGCAGCCATGGCTCACCGGCCCAGCCGCTTCGCAGCATGTGGGATCTTCCCGGACCAGGGCAAGAACCCATGTCCCCTGCATCGGCAGGCGGACCCGCAACCACTGCGCCACCAGGGAAGCCCTGAAATGGTCCTTTTGATCAGCATTTTCAGAGCCCTCTGCAGAAATGATCAGAGACTTACACGTGGGGCCAGACAAGATATTTTTATCATCGTTTTCCGTAGAAGTCTCTGAGTTTTTGGCAGATTTGAGTAGCTTTTCTTCTGTGATGCTATGTGCTTATTTTCTTTTCCTGAAATTTGAACTATATTTTGGAAATGGTTCTAAGTATGATGTTGGTATTTGAAAATCTCCATGAATCACTTAGTAACAAGTGACCACATGCTTTGCACTAAACTTCTTTGGGGGTATCTAGCTAAAATTGAATCCTAGGCTAATTGCTATTTCTTTCAAGTGAAAAAAAAAATCTTTCTTTCCAAACCAATTAATTTTAGTATGTTAGATGTAAAATGGTTGCCTAAAAGAATCAAAGCACGAACTACTAGTTGTTTCTTGTCAAGGAAATAAAAGGTGTTTAACTTACTTTCCACCCCAGTAGAGTTTGGTTGTTATGACCAGGCTGGACCTCCTGTATGTTAAACAAACACACAGAGAAATAGTAAATAAATTGCTGGTTATAGTACTGAGTCATATTATTATTATAGTGCCAGAAAGAATTTATTGTACCTCACATTTTAAGAAATTGGTGAAGAGAGATAAATTTGTTCATTTATGTCATTGAAACCTAAGGACAAGGGGAAGCTGATGAGTGGGGACTTGAAGTCAGATCCAAGAGAAAGAGTTCTGAAGGGAAGGGAACTTTACTTGGAGGGGCCAGATGAGGAGGAGGGCTGTGACAACACACAGGTGATTGGGTGGTAGTAAAGCAAAAGTGAGTGGTAGGCATGGAGAGTCAGAAAGGCAAGTGAGAAGAGTAAGTAAGAAGACTTAAAGCATGGACTGCATTAGGAACTCAAATAGACAGTCACCAACTAACACTCATTGAGCATCTGACATAGTGTTGATTGGTCATGAACTTTCCTGGGGGTACATCCACCCTCTGCCAAGGACAATGGACCTTAGTGTCTCTGAGTCATGACTCTTTCCAACCAATTGGAAAGAGTCATGCAACCAATTGCATTCACAGGAAAGAACTGACTACATGGAAATACGAATAAATTTAGTCAATAAATAGGAATAAAATTTCTTTGAGTGTCTTATTAAATGGAAATGTTATTTTAGAAAAACAATCCTAAAAATCCTTAACTCAAAGTTTTACCACTTTATTCCTAAGGGAATGAAATGTGGGAATCTTGTCAGCAAATTCATTACTTCCTCAAAACCACACCCAAGGGCAGGAAATGCAATCACACCATTATGATTGTGGAATATGAATATGTCTTGAGAACTATAGTCATATAATTTAAAATTGGGAGGCAGATCTCAATGTAATTTACTTTCTCCAAGTATATAATTCAATTGAACTGGTCGAGGACAAAAAAAGCCATTTGAGATTCAAAGGTTAAGACCAAACTTCAGGAGTATTTGAAACAAGGCATTTATAATTCAGCTGTGGAGTCGATGCCTGGGGCCCTCAGATATAAAAGCCTAGCATGATTAATGATAAACAATGCGGAATGGCGGTGACAACTCTGACAACTTGGCTGCAACAAGAAAAATTTGTAGAAAATGTCAGTAACCCCATCCCCCTGAAGTTAATTCCCTGAAAAGTAATTTGAATCACTGTAACAGAAGGTCTACAAATATATGCATCTGGAGATTACACACCCCAAAAGGGCTGATGCACTTTCCAGGTTAATCCATCAACCTCGTGATACGTAGTATAATAGCAATCTGCCACAGGGGAGCTGGGTCTCCTTCAGCAAACATTTTCAGAGCTTCAACACAAAGCTCTGGATGGAATCTGATTAAAAAATGAGTGCAGCCCTCTGGATTATTCAGAGCAATTGGGCCTGCCAAGGCCGCACATTTTTCCAAAATTAGGCTTTCTGTGAAATGTTTGGCCTCTATGGATGTGCACACTAATATTTATGTTCAAATAGTAAGAGTAGACAACTGATGAATCATCACTGACCTCATGGGGGCATCTAGAGCAACTCTTCTGAGTGGGTGAAGAATGATATTGTGAGTATTTCACATTGATATAGCACAGCTTTCAATATTCCTTTGTCCACCTTATCTCACTTTATCAGCACAACACTCCATGAACAGTTATGCCATCCATTTTACAGGTGGGGAAAGTGAGGCTCAGAAAAGAGAAGTAACTTGCCCTGGACAACACACCTAGCAAGTGGTGGTCTTGGGACAAGTAGGCAAGGATACTGGTTGAAACTGCTTTTGTAGCCTCCATGCTGTGATGTTATGGTTTATCTTTTCAGCAATCTCGGGTGGGCAGCTGTGAACTGATATGACCTGATATCAATTTTCTGTAGCATGGGGATAGCTTGAGTTTTTATTTGCAAGACAGAAAGGCAGTTTGTGAAAGATGCATGTTAATCTATTTTCTACAAAATGTATAGAAGAAGCTTTGCAAAGTATGGTGAGTGACGAGTAGACATTCTCTGGATGCGGAGGGGAAGAGAACTACAACACCAAAGTTTCCCCTTCATCCTCAGGTGTACTCTGGCAGCTGACACCTCGCTGTTGATTTCACTGGACATTAGTGGACTCATCTCCAAGGTCTCTGTTATAGGTTGAATTGTGTCCCCCGCAAAAGATATGTTGAAGTCCTATCCCCCAGTACCTCAGAATGTGAGATTATTTGGAAATAGGGTCATTGCAGATGTAATTAGTTAAATTAAGATGAGGTCACACTGGAGTAAGGTGAGCCCTTTATCCAATATGACTGGTGTCTTTATAAGAAGATGCACAGAAACATGAGGGGAGAATGCCATATGAAGCCAGAGGCAGAGGTTGAAGAGCTGCAGTTTTAAGCCACAGAATGCCAATGAAGGTCAGCAACCACTAGAAGCTAGGAAGAGGCAAAGAAGGATTCAGAAAGAGCATGCCCTTGCCCAAATATTCATTTTGTACTTTTGGACCCCAGAACAGAGAGAATAAATTACTGTTGTTTTAAGCCACCCAGTTTGTAGCACATTGTTACAGCAGCCCTAAGAAAGTGATACAGTCCTATCTGAGCAGTGATGGATGAGCCAACATTCTGAGTAGGAAGGTGACTCAGGCAAGGTGGAGGACTGTGTGGGGATGTGAATATTTTTCCGTATTTAAGGTTGAATACAATTTTCTTTTCACACTTTTACAGTCCCTGGAGTAGGGAAA